ACACTCTGATTAGAGTCAATTCTCTTTAGATATTTTATTTGCTGTTCTTCTCTCGCTTCATTTCTTTTTCTAACTTAGAATGAAAATGAGAAATGTTTTGAGAAATTAATCTGTTGTTAGAGTTTATTCTTCCCCTAAAGCCATCAGATTCTAGACCTACTATTAAACTTACATGCTGTGAAAATGTCCTATGTGTTTTTAAAGATCATTTTGATGTCACAGTAGATTTTATATTTAGTAGAGCAATAAATAAATAGTGCCTTGAAGTTTTAGCCAAAAATTACTATTTTCATACATACATTTTCACTAATAAAACATTATTCCTGCCAGTAGGATTGCCTGAAAAGACAAGTTTTGACAAAGACTCTATTAAATACCAGTGGAATTGTCCAAATGTTACTTAAACAAAAATTTGCATCGATTTATCTTAAGGAAATAATGAGTCACTTTTTTGGTTTAAATGCAGTTCTTATTATTTTATGTTCACGTGGCGCCATCTTGTGGGATTCAAAACTTATGCACAAGTATTTTATGCAGCATACCGTCACCAGCTTTTGAGTTATTTTAACTGTCGTCAGCTCATAAAGGCCAAAACAGCTTGAATCTTAGTGATGTTTCCTACAAGTCATAACTCAATACCCTTATGAGCTTGTCCTTGTGAGAACTTCTCGAGGTGAAGAGCATTTAATATGCTTTACATAAGGTACTTCACTTAAATGTGGGCAGACAGGCCAAAGCTCTTCTGATTTTTCCAGTATATTTACATATTAGGAAGAAGAAATTCATAGCTTATACACCCATTCATTCCAAATAGATCACAAAATCAAAATCTGATGACAGGCCTTCTGAACCACCCAGGTCATGGATCTTCCATGCAGCAACTCCTCCTGCAGCTTTCAATATGTATGATTGAACTAAAGCGTATCTTTGACTGAGACATTGAAAATCTAGTAGAACACTTTGTAGATTATTTTCAAACATATTTTAAAATTGCACCACAGTTCTAGGGCCCATAATATCCAGCTTAATCTCCTCATTACATCTTTACCTATCAAACTGAAAAGTTCTTTACTAAATTTCTTCTTTCTCTAATAGTATTTTTACTGTAATCAAAACATTCCTTAAGCCTGTCTTTGACAAAGTACCTGTTTTCTGTAGGTTGTATTCTTAACTACATATACATTGCTATTCACCTCCCCTTTTGTGTTTGTTATATGTAGTTTGAAGGATAGGTGGATAGACAAAAAAAGCTGTTCATCCTCTTTCCATTAGCCAAGTTGTAGCTTTATTCCTTAACTGTAGAGTTACGGGGGTTTGGGCACCTACCAAAATAGTCTTAAACAATAATCAGCTATCATTGATATTCTTGGCCTACTTGTCTCCTAAAAAGCTAATTTTGTGAAATGCTCCCTTGTCAAGTCCACACAAATTTTTGCTTGTAACCCATTCAGAGGAAAGCTTAATATTAATTTGTGCTAGTGCTTGATCATGCTTAGGTTAGTACTTAATTAGATCACTAGACCTTGTTAGTACTGGTAGCAGGAGACTTTCAGAACTTACATTGAATGAGAACATGATTTGGTTTTCCTAGGTAGGTACTGAAAAAGCCCCATTTTCTGATGAAACTGGATTGTTTGGCAAATGTCTTCTCTCGCCTTTATTAGCTTCATTTTGTTTGCTTTCTCTCCTTCCTGAAATGAAAGAGCTTTGTTTTACTTTATCTGAGAATCAGCCCCTTAAAAATCTTTGGTTCCCAAAAGCTATGTTCTAAGTATATTTATTTCTTCATCATTATTAAGCACATCAGTCTTGGATACAGTTTGCTGTATCACCCTGGTATTTCAACTTAAACTGTAAATTATGTAGGGTAAGAATAAGCTTTTTGTTATTTTCAGTGATGCTTCATCTAACATGGAGCACCTCAAGCATTAACATTGCAAATACAACCGCATATATGTTTTAATTATTCATCATTCAGGCAGCTTTTCCCTGGTTAATGATTTGAGTCTTTTCTGCCACTTGTATTTTTGTCCTGTATTACATTGGTTGTGTCACTGTTCTCTAAGTTATGTCCAATTTGTCAACCACTTTCTGGTAGGGAGAGCATGTTCCGTCACAGTAGAGTTAATATTCAGCTACTTTGTAACATGGTTTTTCTGCTAGATGCATGATGACCTGTGTTAATCTATCATATCCCACTTCACACTTCGTTCTGTTTCACTACTTGGACATCATTGTACAGTATTTGTTTTAATTTATTATTCTTCCTCACTAACAACAATATAATTCTTATTTCTTTACATAAATGAATTCTTTAGATATGGCAAAACCTCAAATTTGAGATAAATCATGGAAATCCAAGAAGTCCCCTTCATGTGTTCAGGACACTGCTGATTATCATTAGACTTTTATTTATGTTGCATTTGCCAGCTTTTTTTTTTTTTTAACTGCCTTTAGCATTATTTCTACACCAAATAGTGTTGAAAGATTGCCACAATTTGCTTTCCAAAGGCTGAGCAAACCTGGCCTCGGCCACATCCAAAATTATGCCACTGGAAATGTTTGGGGAATGTTAGCTATCTGTCAAACAGGAAGAAATGATTAAATTGGTTTAATGAAATGCAATGGAATGAAATGGAATTTAATTTTCTTTCTGAAACATACCTTGATCATGAGTATGAATAACAATATAATATTATGTATGAATGCAGCACATGACATTGAAGCATTTTGGTATGTAAGACAAAGAATAAGCTTTTTTAAATCACAATTTTACCATAACAACCAGAAGGGTCCAGAGGTATTCAGTGATTTCCCCAAACTCTTTCAATGAAGAAAGCCAATGTCGGTCAGAAACTCTTGTAGTTTTATCACAAGTCTCATGACAGCTTGTACTTTTCTTTAAAGACTGACCACTTGGCGATCTGTGACTTCATGAGAATTTTAATCCTTTATGCAATTTTTTTATCTTTACAGTTGCATTTTTTAAAACTATTTCTAAGACTACCTTGCTGTTTCATCCATCCTTTCAAAATGGTTCAGTTGACAAGAATGGGACTTGATAGCCTGCTGTATTAATTTTCTTTTTGATGAAAAAATGAAGTGTTGTTCTATGTGTCTTCAAATAATACGTCAAAACAAAGGACAGGATTGTGGTTTGGGCGGGATTGTTTTTTTTATATCTCCTACTTGTGGCTAAACAACTTGAGATAATTCTTCCTTCATTATTTAAATTGCTGCACTCACATCTATCAGTTCAATGAGAATTTATCCATAAACTTCCAGAACCCCCCCTTAAGAAAACAGTATACCAATGGTTCTGGCACTGGTTTGGTAGTTGCCGCACATCTTTTTGAGCTCTTTTCATCTTCTTCCATTTCTCTAGTTTATATTCCTTCCTTTAGCTGTTCTCCTATTACAGTGATCTTATTTTAAATTTTTCAAAGAGAAAAAATGAAGCAGTCTCCAAATTCCTGCCAGAAAACTCTTCTGGTTTTTTTGACAAGATGATAAATATCTTCACAATATAGTTTTACTTCAAGTTCAGCATAGTTTCAGTGCAAATGTTAATACAGTAATACCTAATAACAACACAATTTACACATTGGGAGAGCACAGATGTTGAATATTTATATGCCCTTCTGCTATAGTACTCTTAATAACATAGTAATGTAACCACATTTTCAGCCTGAGTAAATGTAATTGCTTTCAATGCTGTGTTTTCAGAAGGTTTATTTATTCGGCTAATAAAAGCAGGCAAGGTCCTGCCTGACCAACCTGATCTCCTTCTGTGACAAGGTGACCCGCTTAACGGATGAGGGAAAGGCTGTGGATGTTGTCTACTTGGACTTTAGTAAAGCCTTTGACACAGTTTCCCACAGCATTCTGCTGGAGAAACTGGCTGCTCATGGCTTGGATGGGTGTACGCTTCATTGGGTAAAAAAATGGCTGGATGGCCGTGCCCAAAACGTTGTGGTAAATGGAGTTAAATCCAGTTGGCAGCCGGTCACAAGTGGTGTTGCCCAGGGCTCAGTGTTGGGGCCCGTTCTGTTTAATATCTTATCAATGATCTGGACGAGGGGATTCAGTGCGCCCTCAGCAAGTTTGCAGATGACACCAAGTTGGGTGGAAGTGTCGATCTGCTGGAGGGTAGGAAGGCCCTACAGAGGGACCTGGACAGGCTGGATCGATGGGCTGGGGCCAACTGTGTGAGGTTCAACAAGGCTCAGTGCTGGGTCCTGCACTTCGGTCACAACAACCCCATGCAACGCTACAGGCGTGGGGAGGAGTGGCTGGAGAGCTGCCTGGCGGAAAAGGACCTGGGGGTGTTGGTCAACAGCCAGCTGAACATGAGCCAGCAGCGTGCCCAGGTGGCCAAGAGGGCCGATGG